CATCAACAAATAACTACGTAAGAGTAGACAATGCATTTTCCAAGGATGTTTCTGTTTTTACCTTAAGCTTTTGGCTGAAAGTCTTCTCATCATATGGCAAACTTGTTCGGATCTTCTCATACAAGTCATCGAGTTCGACTTCAATGTCTGTGGGAATAAAGTCTGATGGAATAACGGAAATAATGGTCAACGGAGGAGGAAAGTAAGTTATATTCATGTTAGGATCAATCTATCAGTCTTGCCTAAACGTATGTGAAAAATGAGACACTTTATTAGCATTTGGTGAAGCACGGGTAACGAGGCGGTGAGAGCGCTAGCCTGTCACCTCTGTAGACCCTGTTTGAATYTCAGTTCTTTTATTCTCAACCTTGCTACGAAGGTTTTTTGGGGTCTTTTCCGTTTTTTTCACCCTCAGTGAAAACGAACCATTTTTATCTGCTGTGCTATAGATATGTCATTTGCGTAAAAACTCTACCTAAGTGCTGTTTGTTTAATTTTTAGATCAATTCAATCAAATTTTGTAAGGAATTATGAGTGGCAAAATATCATAATCACGTGGTCAAATAGCGACGGGAATGTTGTCCTTTATAAAAATGGAKCAGAGCAATCACGTGAATCAGGTATGCAGRATGGGATAGTTAAGGCTGGCGGGACAATGTATATTGGTCAGAAGCATCAAACAGAAGGTTTTGATGGAGATATGGTTATTCATGGTAGCATCACAGATCTTGAGATGTGGACCCTAAGATTCGACGCTAAACAGGCACAAGTAGCGTACAGCAAATTTGAATGTAATTCTGCAACCAATTTCATGGCAGGAGACATTCTTTCCTGGCAAAAGGTTCTGAACTCAACTTTTAGTGGAGACGTGACCAAAAGCTGCCTTTCTTCGTGTCCTCTTTAGATTATTCAAACATTATGAGTACATTTTCACCAGCAGCAATTCCAATGAATGTACACAATAAACCTGGGATCAATGGCAATTGTTAAAAATTCCTGTTTTTTTTCTAATTTCATTTCAAAAAAATATGCAGAAATATGATTGGTACATTTAATTGAATACTGGACCACAGATTGCATGAAGCAATAGCCAATGTCTAGAAATATGCCATTTTAAAGAAAATATACAAATCATTATGACTCTATAATGTAGTGTAAAGGTCTATCTCCAGCCATCATCCAATGCGGTTGTAGCTCTAGTTAAAATTTTCGAAAAATCAGAAAACGTGTTTATGATATCTTTCCATCCATCAGTTTTACAAGAGAAKCTTAGGGACTGTTCATTAAATATGCCTCAAGGTGGYCTGGAGGAARAGTMAARAAAAMCTTGGGAAAATTTGCAGCCCCCTTACTCTATCACAATATTTTTTCGAGCCACCCCTCCTTCTTACATCGAGCAAAACTAGCCCCTCCCCCTTAATCTTAATAGCTAATCTTTAAACTATAAAAGGAGTCACAAAATTAATGAACGGTCCCTTACAGTATCCCATTCATAAGGCATAGATAGATAAGAAAGAATAGGTTTCCTGACATTATGATTCATTTCTAATTTTCACCTTAAGTTATACAWATACAGTTTTTGTATTGCATAAGCACACACTAACTTATAGTTTAAGGGTTAACCCTATCGAAACATTGCAGAACTGAAAAAATGTTTTTGAACTAGCCAGGAGACTCCACTTTTAATGGAATTCTGAGATTGTATATGTTTAGGCATTTTAATCACCCAKAATGTTAACAAAGCCATCAATAGTATAATAGACTGCCTGAAATTCACAGACGGGTGAAAATGACTCTAWATAAAACTATCAAGTTGACAYAATCTTATGTATTTACTATTTTATGCCGACACAGCAGAATTTTTTTACAATAATGCTCCTGACTGATTCTGGATTAAAATAATCGTCAACACAGACACATCGGATAAATACTTAATATCATMAATATATCAATATCAATTATACGTGCCATTTTGTTGCTCAATAAACGAGARAAACTTSCACTTTTGCAAAAAGTTCACTGTGCAAATACATTCAAAACAAWTTTTGTGAGATGTACGTGCTATGTTTCTAGCTCTCACTGATCAACGCATTGTGTTTGTGCCTGCCGTCATCAAAGCCATCAATTGTATAATAGACTACCTGCAGACGACTTAGAGTGCAGCGATTGTTGGCAATAAACTCAAATCCCATCCATGGGCACTAATTAGATGATATCAAAGCTATATGATAAGTTTAACAATTTAGTGGGCGCTTCTTACTTCATTTTCTCACAACATTGGTCCTCAACCATCACACGATCTGGTGAGAACGGTCAGGTTTGAGTCGAATTGTACAGAGTCTTAATTTCGCCTTGAATACTTAAAAAAATCAAATTCAAATTGATTTAAAGTACAAGATTGGTGAAGTGGATCATCTAAAAAGACGTCTAAAATTGATGTCAGTTCACAGTTTTCAGCCTGTTTATATTTTTATCGTTTGATCAAAGCAATCCAAAAGAAGGTAAAAAGTAGAGGAAATATCCAAAACCTATTTCGAGTTCCGTAGTTTTTGCACTCATTGATTATTGAATTAGTAATGTTAGAAAAAAAGCGTTTTTCTTAATTTGTTTAAGTAACACATGGATTGTATTTCTCAGCCCAAAATAATCAAATGACGCTTTAAATGATACTTTACAAGTTTTTATCGTATTCCACAAGGAATTGTTATTGAAACATTTTATCTCTTTACCAATTCTTTAAACATGATTTCACTTAATTTGAGGCTTATAACAATATTGAAAACAACTTCAGATTCCCTGCGGCTTCTTTTAAGAGCTGTTTTGTCTTTGGGGAGACAGCATTTAATTGTGTTTCACGGMGTCCATTCAATTGATGAAAGAAACTGTGTTTGTTGAGATATCGGTGTATTCTTCTTTGGATWCGGGTAACTAAAAACAAAGCTGAAAGGCCGGATCATCCATGAAAACTTTTGATTTTGCTTTCAGAGGGTCAGAGATACAAAACATTTCTGGATAAGTAAGGAATAGGTGTAGTTGTAAGAATTGACCATGGTCAATGTACACGAGGTTCTTGTGCTCCTTACTTCAATATCAATTCCTTACCAGTCCCTTGTGGAATCATGCGATGCGAGCAAATTTGTTAAAACTGAGGGCATGGAACTACCGAACAAAGTTGGTCTAACAATTCAAAGATTKCTTGTACAGCTCTGCTGGGGAGAGTGCATGTCGTTGYCATGGTGCCTGTCAATCAACGTTCGTAATATTTCGGAAAATGTTTGCGAATGTGATCTAAATAAATCCAACAAGGAAGCGGCGGTTGAACTGGTGCCTAGGACCAATTCAGACTATTATGAAGTGGTGGTAAGTGACGGTTATTTATGTAATCAACAAGAATTCTAAAATATAAATATGAATACAACATGACCTTCATCGGCTGGCTGTAGCAACTTGAGACTATTCTTTGTCACATGGTCTTGTCTGTCATGGCAACAGAGAGGTCCTCCGTTTGCATCTGTTTCTGAATAGAAACATGTTTTGCAATGCGAGAAATAAAACGCAATTCAGTRAAAATTATATGATAAATGGCTACAAGAGTTATTTAGTAGAGCTTCAAAAAGGAGTTATGACAAGTCTTACTAGCTGTTTTTCCASKGTTTGATAACCGTAACCGTAACCCTAACACATACCTTAAAATTACCTTTTCTTCCTGATATAGATCCCTGGCGAGAAGATCTGCAAAATGTACAGGTGCAAGAGGACGCAAGCTCCATGTAAGTTGAGTGACATCACTTTCTGCATAAGGCGATACTGACAAAACCTAATTCATTAAGAAATTTTCAMGAGTTATTATTGGTAGATCAAACTACCTTTTTATGCATCTCATTACTGAAKTTTTCCATGGTTTAAGTGTTTGCACTCTACTAGTGAACTATTATGATTTGTAAAGTAATGCGCAGTGTACATCGCGTCATCTGATTACTTTTTACCAATTGCGAAACTGAGGAAAAGCAAAGTAAACTCCGAATCAGAAAATAGATTGCTGGAAAAGAAAATATATCTTTAAAGTTTATATAAAATTCGATAAAGAAAAAAATGACGATATCAGCCATCCCCATTGTAGCACTATTGGCGTTTCTTCAAGAAGTCTTTTCCTCCAAAATTGAATGTTTCCGACTTTTGCTAGCGAATATTTTACGCTGTGAGCCTGTGTTTATTTATTGTACATCTTTTGCCAACAGCAAAGCCAACAACTCATCCAGTTACCACTGAAGCTCAAATAACTCAGTCAAATACAACTAAACCTCAACCAACAACTCGGCCACAAACCACCTCACCTCAACCAACAACTCAGCCACAAACCACTACACCCCAACCAGTAACTCAGCCACAAACCACTACACYCCAACCAACAACTCAGCCACAAACCACTACACCCCAACCAGTAACTCAGCTACAAACCACTACACCTCAACCAACTCCAGCATCAGGTATGATCAGATTATTATTACCTCAAGCTTGCGAATTCATATTTTTTGCCAATCATTCGCCCCTCTTCATTCATATATCATTTTTTGTTTTGTTTTAGAGTGCCAACTTGATTTCCCAAGGGCTTCAACGCTTGACTATGTAGAAATAACTTTACCATTTTCAGGGCAGGAAATCGAAAAGTTTAGTTTTAGCTTTTGGTTGAAAGTCCCGGCATCATATCAAGGCGTTCTCCAAATATTTTCTTACAAGTCAAATGACGAATCCTCTGAGATAAAATTGGGGTTTAAAGAAGATGGAACAGCGGAAATCGGAATTAATGGTGATGTAAAGTAAGTCCTAACCMCAATCAGATCAATCAAGATACTACACGACATATGCATTAAAGTGCACATGACACCATTAGAAATTCATTCTCATCCAAAAGAGAAAATAMTGCTAAGTTYATCTGTGAAGAAAGAAATTGATTTCAAATTGTATTTTGTAAGTTATGGGCGATTAAAACATAGAAAATGCAAATGAAGTGACGCCTACTAAGGCTGATTTAATATACAAAATCATGAAAGAGAACATTATTCTTTTTGTTACATTGGAAAAAGCATTTTCAGCTCTCAATTATTACTATGATTGATGATKTGTGCTCTTCAACCAAGAACAGCATAGCGCAAACAATGTAAAAAGACTGGATCAATTCCTTAGTTGACGTCACTTCATTTGCATTTTCAATTTTCAAATGTCTATAACTCAGAAAATACAATTCAAAATCTATTTCTTTTTTCGCAGAAGTAATTGGCAGCGTGTAAACTTTCGGATAAAAGTGTTTTTCTAAAAGGTGTCATGTGCACTTTAAGGCCTCCATGAATTCAAAAACGTTAGTCATCGTTTCTTCTGTTATGCAAATGACGTCTTCGTTAAGGTGCTTTCCCGATTAGTTAAAAATCAAACATGGAAAAAATATATAGCGAAAATATTCTTGGTTCACGTTGGCCGAGCCTGAACTTCCTGCAATGCGTTTTTAGAAAACTTAGACTTTGGCTAGATCTAGAAAGTAATCATAAAATAGATAAATGCTCTTGCAACAGTCGAAAACTCTATAGATGCTCCATAGAAACTTATAGTTGATAGTCATCTAAGAGCTGGAATAAAATCAAATCACCGATGGACTAAATCTAACTAGTTCGTATTGTGGGAAGGAAAATGCTGGCTAGACGACTGGATAGGGGGGGATCAACTTGGACCTTCAATGGAGCTTCATTGTTCAATTCAATTTTATTTTTCCATGTAATATTACACAATTGAGCCTTATCCTTTTAAAACAGTTATTTAGAAGTTCCATGTTCTTAATTTTTCAGTGCTCTGATGTCAGATTTAAAGAGAGATGATAAATGGCAGCATATGATCATGGCTTGGAGGAGTCGTGATGGAAGAGTCAAAATTTTCAAAAATGGGGTGAAAATCTCATTTAAAGAAGATTTTCAAGAAGACAAAACCATCAAGATCGGTGGAATAATGTTTTTGGGTCAGAAGCATAAAATTGAAGGGTTTGACAGCAATAGCGTCATCAGGGGAAGTATTGCAGACATTGAAATGTGGAATGAAGGAGCGATTGATACTTCTAATGAAGCAACCAAAATCTACAATCACAATTGTCATTCTGCCATTAATTATAAACCAGGGGACATTCTTTCCTGGGAAACGATCTTGAACTCATCTATCAACGGAAATGTTAAAAAAACCTGCCCTACCACGTGCGCTTAAACCTTTTAAAGGCCCAGTTTTCACCATTATGCTTTGCGCGCCTCTGTTATTGTTGTGATTTACACCAAAACACTTCTAGTATCCAAATATCACCATAAAACGAATGCCAGATGGTTGAAAACTCTAATATTAGCGTTTGAAGTGCTTAGAAAAGTGAGATGGTCAAAGATTCGAAACGCACAGTACAAGTTATAGACTTTCGGTAAACTGAAAATGGCCGCCTTCGGGCCCCAAAGCATAATGGTGCACACTGGGCCTTTAAAGGTCTACCTCYAACAATCATACAATGCGGTTGTGCCTCTAGTTTTAATTTTCGAAAAATCCAAATTTGTAAAAAGCGTGTAAATGTGATGTAAATCAAATTTACAATGTATGTAAAAAGTGTGTAAATATTATGTATGTGTCCAAAATCATGTCGATATTACTTACATCATTTCAACATCCTTTTTACATCAAATTTACAGCACGTTTTTTTTCCAGTGATACTCTGTCGTGTTGGAACCGTTGATCGCTTCATGTTTCTTCTTCGATGATTCAGCGTGTAAAATATTTACTATGTATGTCCAATAGTATGTCAAGTTCAAGAAGTAAAAGAAAACCGATTATGATTTAAGATATTGTTCATAAGATATATGAGTGGAGTGTGATTCAAGGTTTACAAGCATACATTATGATCATATAATTCACCAATAAAGAAATCTTATGCCACAAAACTACACTGATATAATGCCATTTTTAATTTGTCCAAGATCTAAAATTCCAGTATTCTGTGAGCTTTCAAACATTTTTAGATTGAACTGACCGTGGGACCTGGTATCCAGGCGATTAGTGGAAGCTGAAACAGGTGATGGTAATTTTCAGGAYGTTCAATCATTAATGATTATTATTCACGGGAGACCATTGTTGAAAGTCCCAGACTACAAACATTTTCGTTGATCATTGCAGTTGAAAGTTGTACACGGATTTGACTTTCGTGAGCACTGTTTTTTCCTTCTAAAGTAATTTGGTGAGTACAAAAATACTACACTGTATAAACACACATTTGTACCTCGGTGTGTCATTTAATCACAACAATTAATAAAAACCTGATAAAATAATCAAATAAAGGGATTATTTTAAATTATATGTTCGCCCTGTAGTTTTGATATCGCATTATATTCTTTATTTAGTCGGTCACAATCTAATTGGGCTTGCCATACATGGTGGATTTGTCATACCGGTGTTGAAGACAAACTTTACTTTTTTATTCGGGTAGAAATTTTGTCTGATTTTTTTAGGCAGTTTAAAAATCTCTTGCTGTTTTCTTTCTCAAGAAGCRCCACATATTTAAGCCTAAATCACAAACGTGCAGCGATTTGCGAGAAATGAAGCCAAATGAGTTCAAAAGACTTTCCGASATCTTCAAATTGCGATTTTCTCATTTCGAACTTGTTTTAGTGAGCATTGTGCAAATCCATTCATTAATTAACGCGTTTTTAGCTAAACGCTTTTGATATGATTACAAAATTGGATGTCACGCTATTTTGCTTAATTAACTAGATAATGTCCTTAACTAGCGAGGAGATAATTGCATGAATCAAATCAAAGTGTTCTGCGGATAAAAACAATATGCACTCATTCTATGAACTTTGAAACGAAAAAAAGGAAAAAAAAATTGTCGATATCTTCAAATTGCGATTTTATTTCGAACTATTTTAGTTAGCTTTTGATTTAATTACAAAATCGGAAGTCATGCTATTTCGCTTAAATAATTAGATAATTGTTATTGTATGTACATAAATGCCATTAAAGAGAGATTTAGAGAAAGTATTCAAAAGAAAGACAATCTTGCTGTATATTTAAGCAGCTTGTCAAATCTTCCAGTAAAGCCTCGATAATTATTATGTTAAGGTAATTCCGAAAAGTCATATTAGCTTGTACTTGTACAGAAAATAGAGAAAAAACTTAATTTGTAGAAGAAATTTATTAATGCTAACAGGCGGTTTGAAGTAACGGTAATTATTTAAAATTAAAATTAAATAAAACACCACTTTTTTTACTCCAGGAATGTATGCAATTTAGTTTTTAGACTGCAGAAGAAACAAGTTCGTTCCGGTCTTTTCAGAAAACACCACTTTTTTGGGGGGAGGGCGCGAGTATATCTGAGCTTCGACCCGTTTCCATACTTGGCTCTGAATCCAGAGTAYTTTCTTTACAACCTCTTGATTGTGCTTACAGAGTCATAGACCAAAGCCTTTACTCAAAGAATGCTGAAAATACTCCACGGTTTTGTGATCGCAGCCACAGTGATCATTGCTTCCCAGTCCCGACTTGTGATGTCCTGTCATGCGAGAAAATTTATTAAACATGAAAGGATGGAGCTACAAAACCATGTGAATCAAACMATTCGAAGGCTYTTTCCACAGTTGTGCTGGGGAGAGTGTATGTCGTTGYCATGGTGCCTGTCAATAAACGTTCGTAATATTTCCGAGAGTGTTTATGAATGCGATCTCAATAAATCCAACAAAACAGCGGCGGGTGGACTGGTACCTAAACCCACCTCGGACTATTATGAAAAGACGGTGAGTAGCAAAGGATGTAGTATCTATCACAATGTAGTACCATCAYAACCGTCACCTGCAAATGCACTGAAGCCTCTACTATGGACGGAAACGTTGGATCTGTCACATTATCCATCTCTCCTTCAATKTGTGTACCAGTTTTTCTTGGATGTATATGGACTGGGAGTTTATGTCGAATTATTAAAAACATTAATTTTCCATTCTAGAAGCCCAGCAAGAAGATCTGCAGCATCTATAACTGCGAAGGTAAGTGTTTTGTTTAAGAAATTTTATTGCAAATGACGAATAGTGTTATAGATTCGCTTGCTTCATTGAACTAATACCTCTTGAAGATGATTTTAAAGTCTCAATTATATCCAATGGCAACATATCCATTTTAATAGCTACTCTTTTGCTAAAGTATGGCAAACTATTTTGTGCAGCTTAAAAGCTCTTTGTAGATTCTTTGAAATAAATGAGACAGGCGTTAACATCTTGCTAACTACATGTAAGATATACCTGTGCTCACTTTCAGCATCAACAGAGAACACAACAGATACCTCGCCATCACCGCCAATATCACCTTCTACAACCATCAAGTCGATATCCACGACTCCCACACTTTCGCCAACCACTMAGCAAGTGACAACCCAAGCCGCTAAACCAACAACGCCACAAAAATCAGGTGCAAATCTAATATTAATGACTTTATAATCGTTATCAGTTTTGCAGTCCATAATTTGTACGAAGTTGATAACGCTTCAATTCCAAGATTATTTCATTGGATTTTTTTTTCGTTGGACAATGATTTTACAAGTGTCACAAGTGGATAGCACTATTGACCCTACAAACAACCTGATCTGTTTGAGACGAACATTTTTAAGTACATCGCACTCGATCTTTTCACAGCTACAATTCTCTATGAACATGCGACTCTTTATTTGTATTTTCCATTTGGCTATGCCTTCCTTGTTGCAATTGTTTACAAAGGTGTTGCTTCTTGATCACTGGAGCTTTTGTATTAGGTTAACAACAACCTTTGCGTGTGACTTTTCAGATTGTCAACTTGATTTTCCAAGACAATCAACTGCGGACTTTGTRTTTCTATCCTCACCATTTGCCAACGACATTGCAAGGTTTACTTTAAGTTTTTGGCTGAAAGTTCCTACCTCATTCAGCGGRATACTGCAGATATTTTCTTACAAGACAAATCTACAGTCTGATCTTAGTGTGGCAATCAAGGATAAAAACGGGGACGTCGTCGAGATAAAAGCGAATGGAGGAGARAAGTATGCCCTAAGAAATGTTTACTATTAGAATTGTCTGGTATTTTTATGGCAGATTTCCATATTTTCCAGTTCAGCAAGATAAACCATTTTTAAAAATTTATAAGTTAAAAGTTAAAAAAAGTTAAAAGTTGTTAAGTTAAGTTAAAAGTTGTCTAAAATTCGTAGCAATGTACCATAAGCATTCAGTCTTGAATTGAAGGCGTTCGAGCTGACCTAACTCTATGCAAGTGTATGTTTTCTTGATCTTTGGACATCAGGAACCGCGCTTGTACGAGGGTTGTTGGTAAATCGATCCAGCGGTTAAGATAATCCACTCCTTAGATTTTGCACGAGATTTTTACCGCTTGTTAAGGATAACGCTTTTCAGCCTTCGTATATGTATGAAGATAATTTGATCTTGATAAAAAAATGTCTATCATAAGATCAAATAATTATAATAAAGTTATTAGACAAGTCGATTAAAGCCAATAAGCACAAAACTAGTGGTAAATCAAACTGAGGAAATCAAAATGAAGAGCAGCCAGAGAGCCTAAAATTACTCAATAAAATCAAAATCCTTGYTTACTGCTTCARAATAGTATGCTTAAAAYCCAGAAAAAATGAATAAACCCTTTTAGCGATCTATTTTACGCTGTGTTAGCCTCAAAACCATGTAATAAATTMTTTTATTCACAACAGCCCGTGCAAATGCAAGAGATCTGTGAGTATAGAAGACAATGGAAATATTTTGAAATCTCAGGAGTTTTATCTACATTTCTGAATACTTTAGCACACAATTGAGGCTAAYACAGCGTAAAAGAGATCGCGAAACTCGACTATTACTGATCTCAGAGTATGCCATTTTCAGATCAATGAAATCAGACTTCAAGAGGGACGAAACATGGCAAAACATCATYGTTTATTGGAATTCCGWACAAGGRAAAGTCAACGTTTATAAWRAYGGCCGACTAAAATCATCCTCAGATGGTCTGAGTAAAGACTCCCCTATCAAAAAAGATGGAACACTGTACTTGGGTCAGAAGCATAAAAGTGACGGATTTGACAACRATGTGATGATTCGAGGGAGTATTGCTGACTTTCAAATGTGGGACAAAGAAAYCGCATCTTCGCAWATATACKACACGTTCAAGTGCCAATCTTCCACGGCCGRTCCGGGAGAAATTCTCGACTGGAACAAGATCCTGAATTCAACTTTGGAAGGAAGTGTTACCAAAACMTGTCCCGCAACATGTCCCTGAAACACATTTCCAGGTTCGATCCAGGTCATCAAAATATCGAATCTCACCGAAAATTTAAATTAACGTTAAGAGGACATGATGCAATGTTTACACGTATTTGAGGAATCAAATCGAAACATTAACTACACTTTATTATGAAGCACAGCGTGASTTGTATTGAGAACAACTGACACATATGCACTTGCAAATATCTAAAGACTATTTCACAATTATGAGGGTTGACGGCACAAAAGAGAGACAAAGAGTTAAAAYCCTTTATTTTGATGAACCGAGTGAATACATCGCGGCTTTTGTACCTCTAGATATTTGTGATGTACTCTTTCATATACTTTTGGAAAATATTCACTTTCGACGGTGCGCGAATTAAATATATGCACATGGCTGAAATGCTTTTGAGACAAATAGATCTCAATAGTCTCCTTCACGGTTCCCTTCCCCATCTTGAAAGGTAGCCGTGCCTTTACATCGAAGCGAGACGACCGTTGAGCGTGCAATGATAGAAACCTGTGAGTAATTGTCTGTAGGTGTGAAAGAAGGTTTCTATCATTGCACGCTCAACGGTTGTCTAGCTTCGATGCAAAGACACGGTTACCTTTTAAGATGGTGCAGGTAACCGTGAAGGAGACTATTCATAAGGTGAGTTGCTGCCTACACTGGATGGGTCATTTTAACTTTTTAAAAAAAGTTATTCAGTGCCTTCAGAAATATATGTAAGAATTTGAACCAAGTACGAAAAATAAAAGGAAAAATATACGCAAAGTCAAATGCACTTCATAAAAGATGGTAATATTGAAACTATTTCAAACGACGAAAAAGTTAAGGGGAAAAATATAGTATATCAATTGTATATTCCTTGTTTCKTATTATCTCATTGGTAGATTTTCAGATTTCATTTAAATAATTATGTKTCCACCTGCTTCAAGATTAAAATGAAATAAACCAAAATAATCATTTGAATTTGAAAACAAATCAGATCTCAAATCAGTCGACAAAACAAAGTAAATTACGTTTTCATTATTATCGGCAGAAAATGAAATATTTTCCTTTTTCTTGTGTTTCCAGATTTTTCCTACATTTCTCCAACAACATAGGTGTTATCAAACAATGATTTTAAATAATACTAAGCAATGATTTACATGTAGACAAAAATTATAATAAAAATAGCAACGATAAACAATTATTCCACMTTCAAACACTGCTCATTAAATGCGCCATGGGACTTTTCATATAAGATCTCGAAATTTGGTTATAACCTACAGTGGCCGGTTATTATGGCTTTTCTGTCTCTTACCCAATGTTCAGCTATATTCATGACACTTTTGATTTGCTATGCTACTCAAAGTTGGGCAACTATAGGAGATGCTGTGAAGAAAGCAGGACTTAGTAAGTATGAAGAAATGATTAGTGAAGTCTGAAGACATAACACAAGTAAAGCTTTTGAACATTTTAATATAGGGCATATTCGTTAGTGCCCGGCCATAAAGTGGTCAGGAGGAGCCAACGGGGTCTGTTCTTCTAAATAACTATTCTTGTATGATTTTTTTCCTGGGAAAGAGAKTTTGAGCTACATTGTTGACAATCTCACAAGCAAATGTGGCGCCCTTCCTTTTTTAAAATAATTTTGTTCCTGGTAAACGTTTTTAAAGTCAAAAAAGTCTTATATTACGTTTTTATGGTCAAGATTAACGGTATATATTTTTTGATAGGAAATTTTTATTTCCCTGTCAAAAATTCTTATTAAGTATTCCTTGCCTGGAGAGTTCTTTTTTCCTGAATTTCTCGCTGGCAACCAGTTGTGACTTACAACTGGCTGGGACATAAGAACATATATATTTCTTCCAGAGACACGTCAGCTCCTCCTAAGTGGTCGTAGACTATTCATTCACGCTTTAAATCGATGAGTTTAACTTTGTCAAAAGTATAATAAACCAAAACTACGAATAATTTAAAATTTATGTGAGGAATAAAGCTATAACTGAAATCAATCTACGCAGCACTGACGACTTTGGTTGAGAAAATCCTACAGCATAATGTTATGTTCTGTAAAGCACTGGTTCCCAAAGCTTATAGTTTATAGAGCATGAGCCTTTTTACGAATACTCGAATACCGGATAGGCCTCAATTCAAAATACTTCTAGTGTAAATTCTCAGGTCTGTAATAATGTCCGTCATTCATATTTCTTAACATTRACCGTTAGAGAGATGCACAGCAGCAACTGCATTTAAGACTAAGTTGATACATGGAAAATCACTCGATGGATCAGTATACGAGTCAATGMACACGRAACAAGARGGAATATGCAGGGTCCRRTGTTACGAGAACAATCGATGCCTCTCATACAATTACATAGCCACTGGGAAGACTTGTGAACTAAGTGAATCAGATCACGTGACAAAGCCTGAAAAATTGGTAGCCAGGTCAGGAAGTATTTATAGTTCCGTGCAGGTATGTCGTACTTCTTGAAATCACCAAATATAAAAGATAACAGGAACTACTGTTAACCTTTGAAAATGTGCATTTAGCGCTAAGTAATTGTTGAAATCCCATTCACAATCACTTTTTTCATAAATGGCTGATTGTTGCTATGCAACTCACAAACAAACTTACCCGTTACTTCTCTACCCAGTAATTCATACGTCATTGTTTTTTTCGTATTGCTCTGCAGTAATTTGTCCTGAATAATTGCCGTTCTTTTCAGTTTTCTTGTTTTCTCTCCAAGAAATACGCACTAACAACACTGAAAGATGCCAAAAAATCACACTTGAGTTTTCTGTTATTTCTGTAACAAACACACTCACTATATATACCTATTTCGAAAACGTTGTCGCAAAGAACGGCGAATGTCAATTGTCGATCGGAGATTCGCCAATTAATGAAAGACCGGAACTAAAAAGCGGGCTCATAAGACATTAACACAAAGGCCCCACTTTCAAAATGGATGACTGATTCTCAATAACTTTCTGCATTTTTTACAGAAAAGCAGGATAACTTCAAACGGTCAGGTTTGTTACTTGAAATTTGAAAATAACATGTTTCGCGAAGTCTGCACTGCTCGGGAGCTAACAACAGCAAAACCAACTACAGCAACAGGTAAAAACGTTGCTACGAATGAAACTGTCTTAAAAATCTTGTATCGGTGACCAGAAAACACATCTCTATGCAACATGATCTTAAATATTACCTGAACCTTTCTCCCTGTCGCGGTTTCATGATACAGTATCACAACGAGACTGTTCCATAAACATTMAGCGTGTTGAACTTGTCTTGAAAAGCCGTAACAGGGCCCTGCAATGGGAATGAAAAATCCTACAAACTTAGTCTCCTGATCAGAGTGATACAATATTCATTATAGATTGTGAGATCAAGTTCCAGAAGGCTTCCACGGCGAACTATGTCAAGATGACTTCAGCATTTTCAAAAGACCTTGAATCGTTCACCTTGACATTCTGGATCAAGGTTCCAAGTTCTTATACTGGAACCCTTGCAATTCTCTCCTATAAGACTGATAGTTTTAGCACGAATAACCAGATGTCTGTTTGCATCAAGTCTGATGGGCGAACTGAAGTCTCTATTAATGGAAATATAAAGTAAGTTGATAATAAAGTAATATTTTTTTATCTTCGCGGCTAATGAAACTATTCCGTTTTYACTGCCATTGCTCGAGAATATCAATACTTCCAACTTTCTTATTTAGRATGTGTTTTCATGGCCAGTGTAACGTTTGCGGCACAAAGGGATCATAGATTGCTCATAAATCAACGATCTCTAAATGAATAATTTAATGTCAAACGAAAAATATGCCAGTTTGTGGTTGTAGGATGCCCATTAAGTACCAATGAAAGTCTGTACCACTAATTTGCAGACTTCACGAGCMACAACGCTACCTRAAATTCCATCTGGTGTGCACCATCATCATCATYATCAACATCATCATCAGCAGCAGCATAAATAAGAGCAGCCAATGAAATATTGAAATATTGTTTTTTTCATAGATCTTTTAATTCCGGTTTTGTAAGAGACAACAACTGGCAGCACTTCATCATTACGAGGAGAAGGTCAAATGGAGCAACACAGCTGTACAGAAACGGTGTTCAAAAGGAATCGGCATCAGATTTTGCAAAGAGCATCACAGTTAAGTCTGGTGGCGTACTGTACTTGGGTAAAATGCATGGTGATTCGTCGAAATTAATGGAGGGAGGCATGGCTGACTTGCATATTTGGCACAATCGCGTTGGTGAGGATACCGCCAAAAAAGTGACTTCTTGGAGATGTGAAACTACCAAGTATTACAATAAAGGACAAGTACTTGCTTGGGATAGTATCCTAAATTCCGATATGCAGGGTGCTGTTATTAAGACATGCCCAGCTAGCTGTCACAGTTAGAGTAAAGATTGAATTACTACACACGCTGAAAGTATAACGACCAATGGGCCTTGAGCTCATACTCTGGCCGTATTTGTTTATTCCATTCTCAATTGCAAGTCAGTATCCATTGTCTTGTCAAGGTTTTTTATTGGTTGCTTTCGGTAATGCACTTGAAATATTTAGGAAGACTTGAAGGCACTTTCCGMCTGTTTTATTYGTTCCTTCTCAGATTGCCYTCCACCAAAATCATCAAAATTGACCCCTTTTCGACCAAAAAGCTWGGGCTATAGCCCACCAAAACCATCCATAACGAGCCATTTTCGATTCAAACAAGTTTCCCTCTTGATTTTTATAATTGATTACAAGCTTTATGTCTCCTCTCYTTACGTATCTTCCGTTTAATTAATAGCCGAAAATATTTAAGGGGGATTTGTGCTGTGGTAAACATGAAAATACTTTTTTTTAAGATTTGCTAATTTGCTCCTCCTGTATTTCGGACGAATTTGCATTGCTGTATGAAACGCGCACACTAAAATAAAGAGGAAAATTGTCTTTACAATTGTTTGTTTGCTATTACTTGTGCTTTTGCCGTAAAATTTGCTACAGAGCAACCATTATAAGCCTGCGATCTTTGAGATTGCGGTCGCGCATTACAAATCTTCCATTAAACCAATTAGAACATTCTAGAATCAATTAAAACTTTCTATTAGTGACATCATAATGTCTAATTAGCTCATTGTGAGATTGCCCGTCTCACATTTGACTAATGACGTCAAGTATTGATCAAATGAATCATGCTTACCGAAGAAGAATTCACAACATAGACATGGGTAAGTTTCTTTGTAAATGTTGTAATACTCAATAAATGTCTGCAATATTTATCCCCTACGAGAAATTAGAATGYCCGCGCAGAAGAACTTGTTCGATCAAAAGTTCTGGAATTCAATTACTTAATTAAATTGTTCGCCATAATTCAAACATTTTTTGACAAATTTCTACATTTTCTTTGTCGAAAACGGAAAAAACTTAAACAAAAAAGAAAAGTAAATTGAAAATTAGCTGTCCTTTAGCGAAAAACAAACTCTCAAAGATATTTTTCAGGCTCGCGCTCTAATGCATGGATTATGTCAGAGCTCGCGCATGCTTTCTCATTAGCCGAAATTTTTTAAGCAGCATCTGAAGCATAAGGTACTTCTGGRTTGATCCTTTGTTTTCCCAATACACTATGTTATTATTTCCATTTTCTCATTTTGCAGACGACGACGACGACTCAATAAATTTTCAAGATCTGTATATCAGAGCCAGGGCTTCCCATACACCAGTTGGAGCCTTTCTCAGAAATGCCCCTATCGTACARTGTATGATGTTTGGTTTACCGGCTCTGCTTATACTTTGCTCGCCTTTGGTTATTCCAATAAGTGCAGCACTTATGGGTCTGGGTTCCTTTGGAATCTTTTGCGTACATTTYTATTTGTGGTATTTGAACCTCGTGAGGGCAATAAAACGATTCTATCGCAGATTAGGTAAGTCTTATTGCCAAAGCTTTTGTTCGAAAAGCTGCCTGTACTTTTAAGTCGTTATTTTACTTTTACTGTCGTTATTTTAAGTCGTTATTTCGTGTTTTTTTTTTTCGTTATTTACTTCAAGTCGTTATTTTCAAGTATATCGATTGAATCTATGGAGACTTATTCGCAAAACCTCATAATCAATATATCATCAATATATCATTTTTATTCATCTAATGGGATTTTTGTCCGGCTACTGCTAAGATTGAAATGAATACCAATTCAATTCAGGAGCGCCGGATCTTCGTAGAATATTTCACTCAATAATGATACCATTCTCTTAATGTCAATAGTGAGAAAAGTAATGTACATTATACAAACTATATTATCGATCTGGATCTTACTCTTGAACGTGGTTTTCCTTCCCTTCATCATCTCGGGAATAATAAGGTATGGATGTAAAACGTGATAGCAATGGCCGGTAATTGCCATAAGTATGGTTGATTTACTCTAATGTAAATGGATTGCTGCAGCAAACGCTGTAGCGAAATTTCCCCAGAAAATCTCAGCATTACTAAATATTTATAAGAAAAAAAAACAAAGAATGAAAAATCAAGTACTAGTAATGTAGCAACAGCACTGAAAATGTTTAAAACAAAACTGTGGTGAATTCAATGGAACGGAATTAGTAAACCCAAAAGATGAAACGGAATTCTTGGAACGCGACTGAATATTTCTAAGAATAAAGACTTGAATATAGTAACTACAATTATATGAATTGGAACACTGGCACACTTGATCTATTTGCAAAAGCAAAACTGTACATTGATAAAAACTCTTAGAAATCAAACTCTGACTGACTTTTAATTCATCTCATTTATTTTAGAACTCACGTTAACAACATAATGGATCGACTTCATCAGTTTCGTCGTAACCTATTTGCAGTCAACATTCAGACTGTGTTTCGTACGCCTTTCTGGATTTTCCACTGGATGTCCACAAGTGTCATGGCCGATGGAAAGCAGCGTTTCGACAGCGCTCGGAAGCGATATGTGGACGAGCCCGTTGCGCATGCTCGCCGAAGGATGACCCAGATGTACGARTTTGTCGACGATTTATTTGGCGACTTCACTGTTACCGTGACATCTCTGAGAAACAGAGCTGAGATCTTGGTYGAGTCATACTCTCGTCTCCCAACAGACATCATTGCAGTGACTGTTCGAGAYCAAATCAGGTAGGGCTGTCMATRAGTCACGAGCGGCTRCGTACGAGTCTAYTGATCTGTTTATGTATTATTAAACACATAGGTCAACGATCAAACTTGATCTAGTTCGTGACTGGCTCCGTGATAACGTCGAAATACCAGTATACGTTGTAGACAACCACAGAGAGACCAAGAGCCTCTWTGCTCTCAGAGTCTCTGACGACGTTGTATCGATTCGACGATGTCACTCCGATTCAGGTCTCGTGCGYCATCGATGAGAGTCACATGACTTGCGTAGCCAGATATTCACTTTTTAGAGACATGTGTCTATTGTAAAATACTTGATCCTTTAACTATTTCATAACTACATACGGGTCCTCAATGACGTATTCGATATTTCTATATTTGGGGAAGATTTCGGTGACGTTCCTTAGCTCACTTGATTGCGTTATGGTCATCAATTAGTTACCGAAAATGATGTATTGTGAATTTCGTAGAACTCACTA